GAGGGGCGGGCCGGGGCCGGGGCCGGGGCCGGGGCCGGGGCCGGGGTTGGGGCTGTCAGGGTTGGGCCGTGCGGTTCCCGGGAGCTGAGGGCCCCGCTGTTGTCTCGCAGCCCCATCGTGCAGCAGATCCGCCAGGACTGCGCGGAGCCGTTCGCCGCCTTCGAGCAGTGCCTGAAGGAGAACCAAGCCTCTGTCATGAACTGCAGCGACCATGTCAACGCCTTCCTGCTCTGCGCTGACCAGGTGAAGCTTTCCACGTGAGGTGAGTGTCGGGATGCAGAGAGGGGTCGCTTTCACTCTAGACTTGTGGTCCAGAGCCTGACAGCCATTCTGCATGCACCACGTCTGCTTGGGAGCTGCTCGTTTGGAATCACAGAACCACAGAATGGTTTGGGTGGGAAGGGACCTTAAAGCCCCGCCAGTGCCACCCCCTGCCCTGGGCAGGGCCACCTCCCACCAGCCCAGGTTGCCCCAAGCCCCGTCCAACCTGGCCTTGAACACCTCCAGGGATGGGGCAGCCACAGCTTCTCAGGGCAACCTGCCCCAGGGGCTCACCGCCCTCACGGGGAAGAATTTCTCCCGAGATCTCCCCTAAATCTGCCCTCTGCCGGTGTCAACCCGCTGCCCCTGGTCCCACGGCTCCCCTCCCCGATCCAGAGTCCCTCCCCGGCTCTCCCGGAGCCCCTTCGGGCACTGGAAGGGGCTCTGAGCTCTCCCCTTTTTCGCCTTCTCTTCTCTGAACCCCCCAACTCTCCCAGCAGAGGGGCTCCAGCCCTCCCAGCATCTCCGTGCCCTCCTCTGGCCCCGCTCCACCAGCTCCGTCTCCTTCTGCTGGTGGGACCCCCCGAGCTGGAGGCAGCACTGCAGGGGGGTCTCCCCAGAGCAGAGCAGAGCGCAGCAGAGGGGCACAATCCCCCTTCGCCCTGCTGGCCATGCTGCCGGGGACGCAGCCCGGGTTGCTGGTGGCTTGCTGGGCTGACAGCACACGTTGCCAGCTCATGGCTGCCTTCTTACCCTCCAACGCCCCTGAAGTGCTTCTCACCAGCTGGAGTGGAATAATACAGCCCAGAATACACATCAGCCTGTATTTTTCTCCCACCCACCTTGCATTCACGTCTCAGAAAAACTTATAGCAAAGCCAGGAGGTTTATCTAGGCTAAAAGTGTGGTAATTCGTTGCCGTGGATTGTCAGGGGCTATAAGTGGTGTGTGTGTGGCCATTATGGATCTGAATGCAACAGCGTATTTCTCCAAACGGGTCGGTCCTTCCCAGTATCAGGCTAAGCTGATGCCCTGTGGCAAATGCTCTGGGCTGAAAGTGGCCTTGTTGAGGTAAAGTCATGGTTTTTGTCAGTCTGTTAATCAATCTGGTCATCGGTTTTGTTCAGTAATTACGCAGAACGGTTTTGTTGGGGTAGGTCTGCTTGCAGCGCTCTGCTAAAGAGCTTGTAAACATCTATGGAGCAACTTTAAAGTAAATAACATGTCACTAAGCGTATAGAAATCACCTGAATGCGACATGCTTGCGTCGCCTGATGTGGTAATCGACAGTACCTCATAACTAGCGTGCTGCATACGCAGGGAGCCTACCTGATGCTTTTATTTGTGCTGTTTTTTTTCATAGGGGAGCCTTGGAATTAAAATTCATCTTCAGGAGGGAATGAAAAGTCTTTCTGTACTCTGGAGTATCGTTCCAAGGCTTGATTGGGTTGGTTTTTCCCCTCTGAAAAACGAAGCGCAGCCCTGCGATGTGTTTTTCTTGGTTCTGGTCATACTACACTTGTCTTCAGCAGCACTCTGACCGGGGGATGTCAGAACATTCCCGATCCGTTGGCACTTGGGTGCTGATAACGCTGGGTTTTGTCTGCTGAGTTGCCTCTAAAAACTTTATAAGTAAATAAATTACAGAACTGTGGTGAAGTGACACCAAAGGATCACCAGCAACCTCCAGATGTGCTTGAATAAGAACCAAAAGCTAAAATCAGCCCTTGCCTCTTTTTCTGCGATCTGTGTGCTTTGACAGTTCCTTTGATAATTAAGCACAATATTTTCCTTCGTCCCAATAAAAAAAAACCAACAAACCGCTTTTCAAGATCCAAAGCCAGGTCTGGCTTTTCCCACTGATGATGGAAGCTGCTCTCTGAGCTGGACCGACTACAGGGACATTTCTTTGACCGTAAATGTCTCACCTTGACCCACTTGAAAACATCCCCAATTTTGGGGGTGCCAGGAAGGGTTGTATCCCGGGGCCTTCTGCTGCTTTAGAACAGCAGAGGGAGTCTTCCTGCTGGCAGAGACGGGGAGAAAAACTGCGGACTTCAGAGCACTGGCTGCTCGTCGACAGCGCAACGGAGATCTGGTGCAGGGGAGTGGGGGGCACCTCCGTTATTCTTACACGGGGGGAACAAAGAGGAAAGTTGGTTTCTGGGCTGTAACTAGGGGGGGAAAAAAATTAAAGCAATACAAGAAATGGTAGATGGTCTAACGAGAAGTGGGATTAAGACCTGGGGTTTGTGAAATGCGTGAGCGCTTTTGTGGAGGGAGAGCTTTGGGGTGCTGTGAGACGGGTCTGCTCCAGTGTGCCGTGTCGGAAAAATCACTGTAGGTCTGTTTAATGTGCTGAGAATCTCTCCCAGCAGAAGTTTGAACCTTGGAAAGTCCTTTGGGGTACTCGAGACCAGATTTGAGGAAAGAGAAATGAGCTTTTACAACCTAATTGTGCAAATGCAGCTTCAGAGGAACAGCTACGCGGCTGTCCAGAGTAGGAACTTGGTCTTCCAGAAGAGTTACAGGGAACCATAAACCAAAAATTTCCAGACGAGTTACAGGGCACCATAAACCCAAATTTTCCAGAAGTGTGCAAGGAGCAGATGACACACAGAAACTCGCCACAGCAGAGTCTTTCTCTGAAAGTACAGCGCAGCTTTGCTGTGTTTGTGAGGTTTTTTTTGTACTTCTAAGAGAGGGTGAGGCGTGGACCGGGAAACTTGGCCGTGACCAGATTCCCAGGGGTTCATACCCCCTTCCTGGGATGCATTTATCCTTATCAGTGTTTCAGCCAGGCATAAGTCCAAGCGTTCGCCTTTGAGCCTGCGGTGGTTGGCAAACAT